AAAGTGAAAACAAAGGCCCAGTGTTTCAGGCTTGTCCCAAGAAGCACCCAGAGCCCTTGGCCAAGACTCGGGGACTGGTTGATTTCAGGAATTTAAGGATCTCTTTCTTTATCCGTAATTTGTTGACCTTCAAAGAACTAGAGGAAACCATGTCGAAGGAACTAGAGGAAAGAATGAGAAAACAAGAACAGCAATAAGGGAGACAAATTATGTCTAAAAATGCCAAATAGAAATTCTGAAGTTGAAACAAAATGAAAATTTTACTACATGGCTCAACAGCAGCGTCAAACATACTGAAGGAATTAGTGAGCCTGAAGGTCACTGAAGTCAATTGAGATTATAAGTCTGAGGAATGAAAAGGAAAAAGAATTAAGAAAAATAAGCAGCATCAGAATCCTGGGGAACACCACTGATGTTTTCTAATGCCGGCACACCCATAAAAGGAATCATGGAAGGAGAGAAGAGAGGAAAAGAGGTAGGAAGAATATTTGGGGAAATAATTGCTATGAACTTCTTAAATTGGGTGAAAAACACTAATATACACATCTAACTAAAACTGGCTCCATCAACTTAAGTAGGATAAATTTTGAGAAACCCACATGTGGACGCCTGGACGTAAACCATCAAAAGACAAAGATTGAAAGAATCTTTTTTTCCTTCTTTCTTTTTTTTTCAATTAAGGGACTAGTCTTACTTATTTTTTCTCCCATTTTAAAAATTTGTTCTACTTAGTTATACAGGACAGAGAATGCATTTCAATTCACTGTACACAAATAGAGCACAACATTTCAATTCTCTGGTTGTACACGATGTAGAGTCGCACCATTTGGGCCATCGTATACATACCTAGAGTAATGTTATCTGTCTCATTCCACCATCCTTCCTGCCCCATCCCCTCCCCCTCCCCACCCTCCCCTTTGCCCAATCCAAACTTCCTCCATTCTTCCCATGTCCTGCCCCCACCCCCATTATGGATCAGTATCCAATAATCAGAGAAAACCTTTGGCCTTTGGTTTTTGGGGATTGGCTTACTTTGCTTAGCATGATCTTCTCCAACTAAGATGGAGAGAATCTTGAAAACAGTGAGAAAGAAGTGACTCATTACATAAAAGAGTTCCTGAATAAGAGTAAAGCCATTTTCTCATCAGAAACCACAGAAGCCAGAAGTCAGTAGGTTGACACATTCAAAGTGATGAAAGAAGAATACCGTCAAACTTAAATTCTTTATTTTAAACTATTTTTTATTGGTGCATTATAGTTGTACATATGGTGGGATTTGTGTCAGATGTCACATGTGCACACAATACAGCAACGTAGTCTGGCCCATACTATTCCCCAGTGTCTCCTCTTTCACTCCCCTCCTCCCTCCCCTGCTCCCTTTGCTCTACTCTTCTGATCTCCCTTTGATTTTCATGAGATTCCCCCAACTCCTTTCTTTCCCCTTTCCTCTCTAGCTTCCACACAGAAAGAAAGCATGCAAAGCTTGACCTTCCGAGTTTGGCTTATTTCACTTAACGTAAGTTTCACCCATTTTTCCTGCAAATGACTTGTGTAATTTTTCTTTATGGCTGAATAAAACTCCATTGTGTATACACATACACCACATTTTCTTTGTCTATTCATCTGTTGGTGGACACCTTGGCTGGTTCCAAAGTTTGGCTATTGTGAATTGTGCTGCTATAAACATGGGTATGTATATATACTGTAATAAGATGACTTTAATTCTTTAGGATAAATACTGAGGAGTGGTACAGCTATGTCAAATGGTAGTTCCATTCCCAGTCTTTTGAGGAAACTCCATACTGATTTACATTGTTCAGCCTTAAATTCTTTAATCTGGAAAAACTGTTCTTCAAAAATGAGGAAGAAATTAGGACATTCCCAGATAAACAAAACAAAGAATTCATTGCTTGCAGAAATGGTATACAAGAAATGCTGAAGGGAGTCCTTAAGGCTGAAAGGAAAGGACACTGGACACTAAGTCATATTCATATGAAGAAATAAAGAGCCCCTGTAAAGGCAACTGCATAGATAAATATAGAAGACAGCTTGAATGCAGTTTTTATATTTAGCTTTCCCTCCACATTTAACTAAATGACAATCATATAAAGCAATAATTATAAATCTGTGTTGATGGGTATGCACTCTATGAGGACACAATTTATATGACAATATCAGCACAAAGGATGGAGACAGAACAGAGCTATATTAGAGCACAGTTTTGTATATTATTTAATGAAGTTAGAATTAATCTGAACTAGGTTGTTATAATTGTTATAGGTTAAAATGTTAATTGCAATCCCCAGTATAACCACTAGGAAGATGTAAGAAGATAATATTTAAAATATGGTAAAAGAAATGACAAGGATGTTAAAATATAATAGGATACATCTAACACAGAAGCAAGTGGTAGTGGAGGAATAGGACAAAAATGACATAAGACATATAAAAAACCTGGAGCAAAATGATAGACACACATCCTATCTTATCAGTAATTACATTAAGTATAAATGGATTAAACTAATCAAAAGTCAGAGATTGGCAGAACAGGTTAAAAAAGCACCAAACTAGATGCCCTTCAACAGATGAATGCATAAAGAAACTGTGGTATATATACACAATGGAATATTACTCAGTCTTAAAGAAGAATGAAATTACGGCATTTGCAGGTAAATGGATGGAGTTAGAGAATATCATGTTAAGCAAAGTAAGCCAAACCCCAAAAACCAAAGGCCAAATGTTTTCTCTGATAAGTGGATGCCGATCCATAATGGAGGAGGCAAAGGAAGAATGGAGGGACTTTGGATTGGGCAGAGGAAAGTGAGGGTAGGGGAGGGGGGTGTGAGGATGGGAAAGATGGGGGAATGAGAGAGACATAATTACCCAATGTATGTGTATGATTGCCCGAATGGTGTAACTCTGCATCATATACAACCAGAGAAATGAAAAGTTGTGCTCCAGTTGTGTAAAAAAAGAAAAAAAATACAATAAAAAAGCAAACATGATCCAACTTTATTCTGTCTACAGAAGACATATTTTAGATCTAAAGACATAAAAAGTTAAAGAATGGGAAAAATATAACATGAAAACCTAACTTAAGAAAATCTAAGTGGCTATACTAATATTAGATAAAATGGAATATAAAAATTGTTAGTAGTCACAAATAAAAGCATTTTACAATGAAAAAAGGTCCTATTTATTAGGAAAATAAAACAATTATAAAACATCGGCAACTAACAACAACTCCCAAACACGTGAAGCCCAAACTGACAAAACTGAAGAACTAAACAGTTCAAACATACATGGAGATGAGACAAAATAATTAGAAGACCAGCAAGAAAATAAACCTTCAAGACCACTGTATACCCAGTAGACCAACAGACATCTGTAAAATACTGTCTCCAACAGCAGTAGAATGTACATTCTTCTCGAGGACTCACGGAGTATCATCCAGGAAAGGCCATATGCTGGATCATGACTTAAGTCTCAACAGCAGGCATGGTGGCACATGCCTGTAATCCCAGCTACATGGAGGCTGAGGCAGGAGGTTGACAAGTTTGATGCTGTTGTGGCGCGTTTGAAATAAAACACCAGGTCAGTCTTGGAGCAGGGCATGGATCTTTATTTGCCAAGTCGACTCTGCACCCATTTACCCTTTGCAGAAGTTAGAATACATCTTCGATAGCCCTAAACCTCAAGCTACCAGTAAGTCAAAACCACAGCAATATAGGAGGTGGGTCAGAATGACCTACTTAAGAGTACGTTGCCCTAGAAAATGGAACTAAAAAGGGAACATCTCATAAAAGTATTTCCTAATAATATATTGTATAAGAATAAAATAAACATTTTTTTAGCTGCTGTGTGTTGCCAGACAGGGTATGCTTAAGAGGAGGGGCAGAGGCGGGATTTTCACATGGGAGAAACATTTCTTTTCTTTTTTTGGTGGATTTCTTATTTACTTATTTATTTTTGCATTACAATTCTTAATACACCCTTATACCGTAATTTATCATATCTCTGATTATATATAAGGTATGTTGACTCCAAATTCACATCTTCATACCTGTATGTTGTATAAGGATGAGGGTCTCCTTCCACCATCCATGCTCTTCCCCTTCTCCCTCCCTTTCCCTCCCACCCCCATTCCCCATCTAGAGGTAATCTTCCTCCCCTGCTCTCCTTCCCAACCCCATTTTGAGTCACCCCCCTTATATCAGAGAAGACATTCGGCAATTGTCTTTTGGGGATTTCTTATATGAAATGGAGTCTCAGGTTAAAATGGAGTTTGTCTGGTCAAGGCACATATATTCTGGCCCATAACAATGCCAAACTGGGCAACTTAGTGAGACTCTGTCTCAACATTTTAAAAAAGTTAAAAATAAGGTTGAAGATGTAGCACAGTGTAGCAAGCAGGAGGCTCTCAATGCCATCCCCAGCGTTTTTTTTTTTTTTTTTTGGGGGGGTGTAAATCGTGTCTCAATAAATTTAAATAATTGAATAATACAAAGCATGTTTTTCTACCACAAAGGGGTGAAATTAGAAACTGACTCAAAAAGACACAAAAAATCTGAATAAACCCATAGAAGTAGAGAATGAATTAGTCATAATAACATTCAAAAACAACTGCCCATAAAGAAGAGCCCTGTGGCTGATGGACTCATTGGTGAATTCTGGTAAACATTTAAAGAATTAATACCAATACTTTCCAAAGAATCTCAAAAATAAAGAGGGAAGTAGTGCTTCACACTGCATGGTATGAGATCAGTATTATCCAGAGACATGACAAGAAATGAAAGCTACAGACAATTATCTTTTATAAGTTATTTTTTATTTTTTTTTGAGAATTTTAATATTTTTTATTTTTCAGCGGACACAGT